TTGAACATGTTGATATTTTGTTATAGCTATTGTTGTAATGGAGTTTCGTGCGTATTTGCTGAGGGAGGACTGTGTGTGTGTGGGCAAGAGCACAGAGAGGACCTTGTATACAGCTTTGCTACCCGTATGGTGCTGTTTTTCAATCGAATCAACCTGCAGGACACGGGAGCGTGAATGGATGTGAATACCCATGATAGTCCCGATTTAAACGATCCATACCCCGCCATGCTCCTCGCCATCCACCATGCCTCGCCCCCAAAGCGCCGACTCAGCTCATACCTGGACTGCTCCAACAAGTGGTGCCCCTGCCTCTTTCGGTGCCATGGAGAGAATCATCCAGCTCGGAAGAGGGAGACGGGGGTTTAGTCAAGAACCTGAAGAGGCATGGTCCACAATCATCGATTTGGCTGCTTTGGGCATTGGCCCCCTGTGGTCTCCGAGATCTTTCACGAGACGATGTCCAAAATTTGTTCAAATAGGCAATTCGTTCTACCTGCCCATCTCATTGTCACTAGAATCCAACACAGAGACAGATCAAATCCTGTCGGGGAGGTGATTCCTCCATTTGATGACAGTGTTTGGGAGACGGATGCGCATTTGTTGGTTGCATTGTTTGGAGAAAGAATCTTTCCCTGTGTCTTAGTGAATGCTCCTGTTCCAGTTCCGCATGGTGTGAATATGGTTGCACAAACAAGGACATGACACTTTCCCAGGTGTCCTTCTTCATTGCTTCATCAGATGTCAATTAGTTGCAGGTCAATGAACAGACAAAGAAATGCCCAAATCAAAATCACCGCGTGAACCAACTTCATAAAGTGCGATTGATTTCGTTCTGGTCCACTAATCTATTACATTTATATTATCATTGATTGTTTCTTTGAGAGATTGTGGCAACATTCATGTTGATCCACCGTTACTGGTAATGGGATATACATGCAATGGATGTGCCCTGCCCTTGCCAGCTGCCGTCTGTGGCGACTCCACGGAGATGAATGTGGCAGCCCATGTGCAGGTTGGATGCAGTCTACCTACGGAGCGGAGGGCATTTCGCATTTTTCACGCATCAAAACGCTCTCGCAAATAGGAGCAAGGGCGCTACGAACGGAGCTCCTGGCCTTACTACTAGGAGCAAGAAGCTACTAGGAGCACCTGCCTCTCGTTTCTTCAGACTTGACGTTTGGTTTGTACAGAGAAGGCAAACCAACTCCCAGCTTGGACTTGCTGGACGGAGATCTGCTCAAAATACCGCAGATCATTCCAAGGAGGGTCGGTTTTTTCATGTTCGGATGTTTTTTGTGTCATGTGGTTGCGATCAAAGAAGAATTCCTGACATTGCGAAGAAGTCACTCTCTATTTTTGGATTTCCTGTATGAAAACCTAAGAGGGCAAGAAACAAGAACTTGTTGAGGACCTTGAAACATCTTCAAAAAGTCCGCTTCCAAACATGTGCAAGCATTTGATAAAGGAAAAATGCGCGCGCACACACACACACACAAAGGTCACATGATATAGTTCGAGATACCGACTACCTTCCCGCGAGACTTGAACTTTGCACTGTGTTTTCGAGAGGGCCAGTAGTCACTCTGAAGAGCCGGACCAGCAGGCTGGTGTTCTTGAAATTTCTTGATGATTTCATTGACATCTGTGGATACTCTGCATAAGGGAATCACTCCACACCCCAATCCCCTTCCAGTTGAACATGTTGTTCCTTGAGTTCAGGTGCTGCCTTTTGCCTTGCTTGCACCCTGCCCACCCGCCCCAGATGGGAGCTGTGGTGTAATGCACGAAGCCATGCGAAGCCTTAGGAGTCTATCGCGCCATTCCAATGGATGGTTGTTTAGCCACGACCCCTTGGAGTTGCCGCCAAAAGCCATGAGCGCTGCTTTAGGGAAGAGAGGGCTTGGGCTATGCCAAGTGTGATCCGTTTTTCTACTACCCAAGTGATTGGATTTATCGTGGATATCACATCATGTCACCGAGGAATTCCGGTGCTGTCAGGAAATGAGGTGGTGCCGGTCATGCCAAAAGACGTCCCGTACAAAAGGGCGGGTGCCGGCTGCGTTCACGACGGGTCATGGGTCTTGGTCTCGTCCGTGACGTTTCTGATTCAAAGAGGGTGTCGGCTTGGTGTTGGAGGAAAGAAGTGTCAGATGAGAGATCTCAGACGTCGGAAGACCCTGCTGTGCAACAGCATGTTGTGTTTATTAATATATGGTTGTCAACTGTTTACTGCAAAAGGTATGCTGTGGTTCAATATCGTTTTGAAGAAGGAAGGAGGATCCATACTCTGTTACTTGCCAGTTTCCCAGGTGTTAACACTCACAAACTGAAAAGAGATTCTCCCGTACGAATGTAATCTCATAGCCAATTGGCTCTTAACTGGCCTGGACACTGCAATCTACAGGACAGGGTGGCACATCCTCTCTACCACCTGGCAAAGTACTGTCACGGAGAGCAGATTGCTTCGGAGATACTTTGCCCACGGCTACCCATCTGAGATGCAACAGCCAGATAGACCGTACCAACGGGCCCATAAACAGGCGCATCGTCCAGGAGCATGGGCCCGAACTGTTGAGTGGATCACCGGTGACCCCACTTACCTCAAAAAGACTGACGCCTTCTGTCAAAAGAGGAAAACGCTGGCTGCCCGAACAGGGCGAATGCGGGCTAAACGCGCTGCCTCTCCAGATGAAGAGGGTAGCTCCTCGTCATCGTCGTTCTCCGCCTCCCACAACAGTCAAGGTCAGAGCCAGAGACCGTGGCGCTCACAGCATCGCTAAGTAGAAAGAAGGGACGAAACGTCTACCCTAGAGTGGCTATACATATACACAGACACATATATACGCAGCCACACAAGCTGTTGGGCGAAGAAGATCATACTTTCTCGTTCCAAGTCATCCCCAACATATCCAGTTCAGATGCTTCCTTTTTGTAGGAGTAGGAGTAGTCGAGTTTTCGGGACGTGTCCAGTCGTTCCTACTTTTAAGACTAGCTCAGGCGACTTGCAAATTTCCTTGAAAACCTACACGCTCTTTCCCTTAAATCAGATCGATGGGAAATGCATGGGATCCGGGTCCTATGGAGCACAAGTAGAACACGGACCAAATGTGGCTGCAAAATAAGCAACTACTCAAAATGCATGAGAGGCCAACTAGTGTGAGTATGGGCAAAAAAGGTTTGAAGTGTGTGGGTCAAGTTTGTTAAAGTATATATGCAAGTTATTGTTAAATGTAGATGTGTGTAGGTGCAGTTGGATTTTCTTTAGGTTCGCTTGGATATTTGAACAGTTTTTTGCTGCACAGCCGTTTGGGACACCATGGATGAAGGAGTGCCCTCCAAAGCAGGCTCCAGTTGACTTCTCCATGTCCGTTTCAAAACAGGCAACCGAGCCCGATCCGGCCGACCACTGACACCGAGGTCGATGATCCGGATGACGACCACTGGCTGTGACAGCGGAAGCGCCTTGGGTCCAAAAACACGGAAAACGTCGACCGGCGCAGCTGACTCTGAGAACATCGAGCTGGTGCAGCTGAAATCCAAGCCGGAGTCGAACACCCTAAAAAGAATGGTTTTTAGGTGACCCGGATTTTTGTGAGCATTCCTTTACTTCAAGGTGGCAAAAGATTGTGACTTATAATGGGAAAAACCGTTGAGCCTTTTGGAGAAGGTTATTGCAGTCCAGACAGGGAGAAGAGCCAAGTGCACAGCAGACGGATTGACCTCTTAGTGCCAAGATCGAAGTGGTTTGTTTTTGGGATGGTCGGATGGATAGTTGTTTTGTTTTGTGATGAATGTGATGGTATTTGGGGTAACCATGGGGTATTGGCAGGCCTGTTGCACCAGGGTTGTTGGTCACCGCCTGCAAAAAGAACATGCGTCCATTTCTTTAAATAACCCCTGTATCAGGATCAACCTTGTCGAGTATGCAGCATGTAGTTCATTCCGGAACCACTTGGAACACATTTTATGGGAATTTGTGAAAGTAGATGCTAGCCTTCAGTGGCGGGTAGAGCCAGCACATGGTTCGTGGTTCTAATGTTTTGCTCCTGCCGACACTCCACCAAAGGTGGCGCCACTCAAGCTGGTGCACTTCTTTCTTTGATCGTCGCTGCTGCTTACGCTCTGAAGTTCTGATTCGAGTGATTAATTGGTATGGTTTAAGTCTTCCCATTGAAAATATATGAAAGAACTATGCAAGGAATTGCGATCCTGCCTCTCAGCCTTTTGAGGATTGCGTGAGACAGAATGAGGAGGATTTCTGTCAGTTGGGAGTTTCAAGTTAAGTTTCAGGTAATTACATCATATGAAGCGAAGTAGGTCACACTGTGTGGTTGATGCGAAGTCCTTCCGCAAATCCACTGACTTCACGATTTCCAAGAGCTGGAGGTGCTTGGTTCGAAGTAGCCAGGCCTCTCCGTGACGTCGGATGCACTGTTGACTCCGTGACGTAGCGGAGCAAAAGAAGGAGAGTTGGATCAGGAGATGTTCGTTTTGGGCTTCTAGCTCACGAAAGGAAAGGTGGTTTTAGTTCTTTTGCTTCTGCAGTTATGCCCTTTTGTGTGCTGGATGCCCATTTGTGTGGTTGTGCCTTTTTCTACATTCCAAGCTAGCTGAATCATGTTCACTAGAAAGCTGTCTAGCTGAGCTACCAAGCTCAGAATCGAATTGCTGCAGCACTGCCTTTTTGTAAGGCAGCGGCAAACAGTTACTGCACTTTTTTGTGCGATAGAAGCAACATCAATGACCCACTCCTACAAGACTTCGTGGAGATTCAGACGATGTAGTCGTTTGATTTTTGTCCTCAACTTTTGCAATTTGAAAGAAGATTCATCAGCCACGACTGACTGGTAGTAGGTTCATGTCATTATCAGTTTAAATTCCGCTTGAAACCACAAACCCCTCTATCCTGAGCCTGGAGCTCCAGGCAGGAGTACAGATCCATAATTCTGGAGCAGATAGTGGCTGTTGGCTTTCAGGAGTTTGAAGCCATGAGCTGCTGCAGCTATTTGATCGCTCGAGGCAACAGAACCTGGTCATTCCAGCATCAGAAGTGTGAGCCATGAACAGCATCGCAACCGTGGTGTTTGCCGCAATGCTCGGTGCAGCGACTTGGGCGTCAAGACATGGCAATAGAACAAAGGGGAGGTCCCTAACAGATCGATGATGCTGTGACCAGACGGCTACTAGGAATCCTCCTCACTCCTGGACTCCTAGGCAGCGGCGTACCCATCAAGCTGGTCCTGCAACTTTGCTTGCATGGCGGCGAAGCAGCCTGGCGGAGCCTTCGGAAAAATGGGCATCGCCGAATTCAGTCGCTTCCTGAGATCTTGCAAGTCCCAGTTCAGGTGGCAAGTGGTTCGTGTGTACCTGCAGGCTCTTTGAGTCCGCACTCAATGATTGTCTCATCCTATGCACTCATGTGGATTGATGCTGGAGCTTTGTGTTCGATGCTGGATTCATTCTGGATTCATCACGAAAAGGTTTGTCAAGTTATTATCATGTGTTTGATGTTTTTGATGTGGTGGTCGGTCAGACATGTTTGCAAATCACGTTCTTTTCATATCATCATACACTGAAAACACTGTGTATCGGACCTACACACAGCATATGCACAAACTCATCATGTCCGCCTGGCACCTGCAGATAATGGCACTGACGCCTGCGTGATTACTACGGACATCCCAGCCGCCACTTGGCTCGTCCGACTCTTCTTCCAAATCCATTTCACCGTTCTTCTCGGGGCTGAAATCGGATGTAGTTCAGCCGAAAACAACAAACATTATCAAACATGATATATATATATGTAGTTTTGGACTCCAATCAGTGGCAAGAGCTAGCTCGCAACATGTTTTTTTTGATGTTTTCCAAAAGTATCCGAAAGTAATGCGTATCGTTCAAGCTTTTCTGCAATGAAAGGCTCTCTCTCTCTCTTTTCGTCCAACAAGTGCGCTGTTCTTTGCACGCCACTCCTCAACATCCCAGGCTGGATACACTGGTGGAGAAAACTACACTGCACCTGATCTGGACGATGTCATCGTCGGCTTGAGTGATTCACCAAGTTTCGTTGAGGTTTTGCGATCGAAACTGAAAGGAGCCACACCAAAACCAGCGGGGGATGTGAATGGAAACACACACAATTCACCACTGCTTCTGGCTTTGGGTTCCCACATTTTTCAGCAAGTAACTAAACTGGGCATTGAAGTGAGTTCTCTGAGTTTCCCCGGATGCTGCATGCGAAGCCTGCACTTCAGCACCGGAGCATGGGACCGTCCCAAAAAACACGCCAATATGCGCTTTGTCGACGTTGACAAGCGCTCTGTCAATTCTTTTGTGCTGCACGTCCAGCGAAGACACCAAGAACATATACAACACAATTGAAAAAGGACACCTGGTGGAACGGAACACATGAAAATGGGTCAATAGCTGTGCTACTCTTGGTTTTATGTTAGTTTGGAGAAAATGTCAACCTGGCCTGAAATTAAAGACGTACTATTTTATATTGTTTGGATTGAACCTTAGTGTTCGCTCTCAGCTTACGCATTGAATAGGCAAAGTAACATTGAAGAGGATGACTTTCTTGAGAAAATACGTGACCTCAGATTCATCATGATGCACGATTCGAAAAGTGGCTGCTCACAGTTTTCGGCCCTTTCTGGACACAGAACCACAGCAACCTGAGCGCCTCATCAATTGGATTTCAACTGAGGTGACTGTGACATCTACTGGCACGTGCCTTGACAGGTCACGGGAAGATCCAGTATGACCATGTCATAAGGGAAGAACTCCCCGCAGCACGTTGAGAATGGCAGGTGCAACTGGTAGATGGCTGATGGCTGTGGGTCAAAACCAGGCTACCTAGGTTGACCAGAGAAAATGAATAGAATAATGGACTATGGACTACTAAGGAGATCAACCTACCCTGGTTTGGGGCATCCGGGTTTTGACCCACAGCCAGATGTTGTTTTTCATTGGAAACAAACAACTTTAATACCCTTACCCTGCCTTTTCCCTTCGCAGTCAGGATTGACAATTCCCAAGATGTTTCGCTGTAGTTTGTAACCCATTGGCAATTGGCCATTGGAGGTTCACCCAAGTTGCCCAGTTTGGACGGAGAAGGGCCGGTGCCGATTGTCTTCAAACACCACACAGCTACCGGGTAGCCCACACAGCAACATGGAATCAAGGTGTCAAAAAAAAAAATATATATATATATATCAGTATATGGTTGTCGATCTAAAGGTCCTAGACAGCATTCTGTATGACGATGACCCGGAACATATCAAAATCTTATTTGGCGAAAGTTTTTTCTCGAGTTCGCGAAAGTTTCTTTTTTGGGGCGAAAGATCTGGCGAAAGATGAAATATGTACTTTTGTATGAATGTTCATTTGCTTCCTGAACAGCTAGTGGCAGTGACTCAGAAGTTAGATGAGCTGTGGAAGTTAGATAACCTACTGCTGCTGCTGCGGCTCCTCCTACTACTACTACTACTACTACTACGACTACTACTACTACTACTACTACTACTGCTATTCCTGCTCCTGCTTTGGGGGGTGGCTTTGCCAAGAAACTCTACCCCGCAAAAGGCGAAAGTTCAGCTCAAGATTGGCGAAAGTTCACCCTGCCACATCTGACCCCCAGCCCATTATGAGTAAGTTTGAGTGACCGGCTACCACAGTGATTCTTGCAATTTTGATTCTTGCTGACACCCAGGAGAAACAAAAGAGACGTACAGGGCGTCAACAGTTGAGTAGAACACGCATGCTGACAAACAGTGAAGTTTCTATTTTTTGTTTGCCCGTAAAGAAGAAGCCATTGACGTGAACAAAACACAACATACATGGCACACATAAATACAACGTACTTCGGCGAAAGATAAAACGCAGGAAGGCGAAAATTTGGCTAAAGTAAATCTTTGTTGGCGAAAATGACGGATCCCAAATAAAGGAATTTAGATCAACTCCCATATATATATACACAAATTATACATTGATAGACATCCGCATATTTGCCAGAAACTTGATTTGCTATTGCTCCGTGTCACATTTACGGCACTCCTCACTAGCTTGAATGCTTGAAACAACCACTCAAAACGTGAATTTACCGCAGAACCACAAAGCCGTCTCGGGAATGTATACATTCAAAACCATCAGTATTTTGCTACACAATCAATGAAGATATGCTTGGAAGGAGCGGAAATATGGTCAGTTGACTTCCTCACTCTGCTGGGAAGTTAACTTCTCCAGAGTCTGAGTGGGACCCACATGAAAGCTCCTCCCACTCAGGTTTGCGCAGAAAGTGACCTGCAGCTCTGGGATGTTTGACGATGACGACACGTCGAACCAGGTAACAAAGGCTGGGTCAGACGGTCAGAGTAGGTCGTGCAAGTTATAGCCAGGACTTGGGCGTGAAAAAGGCTGCAGTATGTGAAGAGGCCACAGAAACATCCAGGAGTTGAATTCGCCCAGATACATACGGCAAAGATACGATACCTGCAACAAATCGCCCTGCTCTCTCAGATGCCTTGTCAGCATGTCAGGCGATGAGCCATAGTACTGGCCCCAGAAAGTGTGAAACTCCTGACCTCATTCACGTGCATCGCAAAAAAGAGTTGGACTGATGATTTGCAATTTGTTGGAGAGAGCTGCTTCACCCTGCGCAGAGAGATTTGTGCGGAGTTGCGACATTTCATCAGAACTGCCGTAGTTTCAGCGGGGGCCTCGCTGCTGACCATCATTATGTGGGACCGGATACAACTTCTTTTACTAAGGTTTTAAATCCTGCAGCACCTAGTCTTGTGAATGGCTGTGACTACCCCATGGTTTAGCCGATCCATACCCCGCCATGCTTCTCGCCATGCCTCACCCCCCTGCCGACTCAGCTCATACCTGGACTGCTCCAACAAGTGGTGCCCCTGCCGCTTTCGGTGCCATGGACAGAATCCATCCAGTTGGGAACAGGGAGACTGGTGGGAGGCATTGGGGTTTATTGAAGAAAGAGACCTCAAGGCATGGGTCAAGGGGGTTCATGTTCATTTTCCACAATCACAAAGCTGGCTTCGTATCGAACCTCAGTGCCCCGTTTTGGGTATGGGGTATATAAAGTGATTTGTGCTCTCCAAGATACTTTAATACAATATGTCCAAGGCATGTTCTAGCTGCAGATCTCATTGTCACTCGAATCTGACACCTAGAAGAAAAAAACATAGGCAAGGTTTCTCCTCAGGTTGATTAACAGTGTTTCGGGAGAACGACACGCATTTGTTGGTCTCATTTTGACAAAAGATCCTCTCAGTGATTTTTTCCGTTTCGGTTCAACGTGTCTTGGCATTGGCTTGCACAAAGCACCAGATAATTTACCTGGTCTCCTTTATCAAACCTCCACCAGTTGCAGGTCAAAGGACAGAGAAAGGCGATAATCGATTACCTGCATGAACAAATGTTATTTAGTAATTAGGTTGTAATTATTAACTTGATATCTAGGTGTACAATAGGCGTACAATTTACAACGTTTAATATGTTCCTTTTGGATTGATGGAGTGGTAAGGCCAGATTCTCAAACGTATTTGGGCAATGCGTCAAATAAAGTGACTTGAAAACTTCCAGTGACTAACTAGACGGTGCTTGTGTTCTAGACGTGCCTAGACCATGTGCATCAAAAGACCTTAATATGTGACTCTTCTATCTACCGAAATATTTGTCCTTCAACATCACTGCAAAGACATGACGTCTTTGATTCCCTTACGGCAAAGACTCATCCATGCAGAACAGACTGGGTCTGTGAAGGGGGTTCTGGACTCAACATGGCTCAACGTGGCTCCTGCCGTTGCCAGCTGCCGTCTGCGGCGACTCCACGGAGATGAATGTGGCAGCCCATGTGCCGCTTGGATGCAGTCTACCTACGAAGCAGCGAGTTGGGGAAAGCAACAACCACTCCCACAGTAGAAGAACTCGGATACCGACAGGACGTTGGTATCCCAGAGTCAGTGAGGTGCCTTGGAACCAGCCTCCAAAACGATTGATCTGGAGCCTTTACAGTAGCCGGACAGCCGAGGTTGCTAGGGAGGCCACAAATCGCGCACCGTGGTGCGGTTGCTTTGTTTCGTCACGACCAAAGGGTGCGGTTGGATCTTCAGAAGTTCCGGAAGTTCCGGAACCAGTTCGAACGGCCAACGGCCGTGGCCGTCTCGCCCGGCGCGTCGGGATGAAGACGACACCGCTCCGGACCGAGTACGTACCCAGAGATTCCTTGTAATGGCAACATGGACCAATGATATTCAATGGACCCCGAAGTAACCAACAGAATGGTAAATATTCACACATATTCCATACATGGAGCGTTGGGGTTACGGGTGGTCATGCAATAGTTGGTCAAAGAGCCTGGCGGTCATGCAATTCTCTCGCATGTTTCGCATGTCTTGTGACCGAGGTTTGACTTTCGGACGGAACTCGTTCTCGCGAGAACTGTTTGTTTTGTTTTGTCGCGAAAACTTGGTCTTTGAACTTGGCTCTTCCTTTTGGGCGCTTGTCAGTATGTCATGTTGACGCGAGGGATTTGGTTCCTGTACTCATTTTCAAGTCTATATCTCAAGTTTGAGAAGATCGCTGAGTTTCAGCCCGTGCAACTTCAATGCCTTGGAGGGTTCAACCGGTGTCGAAAAAGCCTCGCTTGTCAGGCCACAACATCCGCACAACGTTCCTTTTCTCTTTGAACATACCTAATGCGAGGCCCCTTTCTTGCTGTATAAGGGTGGGCTTGGAGGGCCCAAGTACCTTCATACGGCACATGCCTCTTACTTGTACATCTTTACAACCCTTTCATTTTTCCCACAGGGGCTAGCAGCCCGCGCCTGCCGACCCTTTTTCGAGGGGTCCGGGGGCGGGGAGGGCCCCGGGAGCGGGGAGGGCCCCCGCAGCCTGAGCTTCCGGATGCGGGGCGGACGCATAGACGTTGGAGCCCCGTTCGTAGCGTCCTTGCTCCTAGTAGCGATGCCAGGAGTCCCTAGTAGCTTCTTGTTCCTAGTAGTACGGCCAGGAGCCCCTCGTACGAATAGATTAGATGAGCTGCTGAAGAATTGTCAGTTGAGCAGGTGAAAATTGCTAGGGTTGCTGCCGTGCCCATTGAACATGTTGCAATGGATGGATTTTACATGATTTTACTATATTTTACTGATATGAGTGATTCAAGGGTGCAGGCTCAGCTGAGACCTAGGAACAATCGGACATGAAATGTTCATTTTCGACCTTCTATAAGGCACATTATGTTAGAACTGGGTGTTTCAAGGGGTTGGTCTCCTAGTATCTACGAATCCTTGCTTCGGGTGTCAACCAGACACAATTGGTCTCCTGTGTGATTTTTTCTTCCCCAGTTCGTGTGCTTTGCAAAGGATCACTGTGCAAAGGATCCCGTTGAAAAGCACGAAAAGTCCATGGATCAACTCCCATTCGCACGTTGGGCTTCTCCACCTTTAAGTTCAAACTTCAGAGCAAATCTCTTGGGAGAAGACCGAAGAAGAGTGGGCAGGGGTTGTGGCCTGAACTTGGTGTGTGTGTGTGAATCCCAGTGTGTCAGAAGTGATGAAACTGATTCATTTGTGATCACTTACACACCTCCCTGCCTTCAGGGAGTTAAGAGTTTACATCCACCCCCGTGCCACTGTGTGTCACTTACGTACACCTTAAACCATCAGCTTGAGCAGATTGGGTGGGCTTTTCAAAGGATCCCCTCGAAGAGATGTATCTCAAAGAAAGGAGCCAGAGGCATCAATCTGTCCTACCCAAAGTGTTGTGTCGGACCGTCTTGACCACTCCGTTTCAACCAACATGTGTCTAATAAGCTTAGGAGTGTTTCCTGAAACATCCAGCATGGAACCTGCGCGTGCGCGTGCCTCCGGTTTCACCATGCTTCCATCGTCCTAGACGACGGACGGGTCGGCGGATATAGTATAACAACATGTTCAAGGACGGGCATCGTCATGTTCCATAAAGATTCAAGACATAGTGCATTGATGTTCTTCGTGCATTGCTGTACCCCAAGAAATCCCCACTACAACTTCATTCTGACTCTTTTTCAGACGTCACCCAACGACCAAACCCGACCGGGCCTACGACCGTGAACCCGTCTTCCCGCTCGTCTTCCAGGTCGAACATCCGCATGGCGACCGGAAGCACCAACGTTGGCGCCTCGTTGTGCATCATCGAGAGGGAATCTACCGACCCGTGACAACTCCGGGGGAGCACCAGTTTGAAGGATGATTGGTCTGGCGACGTCGTGTGGGGAGCAACAAGCACCAGTTTTCGGAACTTGTAAATTTGTTTTAATGGTCTGTGGGTCACCAATTCATGGACTTTTTGGGAGGATGTTGTATATAGGAAGTGGTTGGTTACGTTGTGATGGCCTTCCTTGTCGGTTTGCCGGTTGCACACCTGACGAGGGCCGTTGACAGACGCGGAAGCTCCGGACATGGGGATGGGTCGTGACCCACCTGCAGCCTGGGTCCGCGCGTTCACGACCGACACGTCGGTAGCTCGTGCCCAGTCGGTCTGGCTCGTGCCATGACCCACAGCAACACCAGAACTCGTTGGTGTGTGGACTTCAACCTGTCCAAGTCGAAACCAAGTATTCTGTGACGAAGCGTATTCGTTGGTGTGCAGCGAAGAACCCCAAATCCTTGGAACACATCGGGTGGTCAGAATGAGTCAACAGAGGGTGGTCCTTCAGCCACAGATAAAGACACAAGCAAGTGTCCTGTTTTATGTTTTTTTTGTGGTTTTGCTGCAGAGTGGCAGCGATTCGAAGATGTTGCGATTTTTTTTCTATTTGATGCAGAGTACTTCGGCACTGCATTGTGGTTTTCACATCCCGGGTTTTCATGACGCTGACACAAAATCGGCACTGGCAGGCGGCGCTACTCGTAGTGCCGGTGCACTCCTTTCTTTGACATTTGCCGCGGCCTTGTACCTTCTCAAGTTCTGAGTCGAGTGATCAATAGCCATCTTCCACAAGAAGAATACTATAAACACAATTGTTGTCTCTCAGCATTTTGCGGGAGACAGAAGGACTGGCACCTGAACCTTCCAGATTTGTGAAAAGCACTCTATTCTGGCTGCAAAGTCCACTAATTCACTGCCTTTGCCTTCCACCTCCGGGGTGCTCGGCTCGATGTAGCCGGGTGCCGACGTGAGCGAGCGATCCGTGACGCAACCGCGGAGCTTCATTCGGCAGCTTCAACTGCCCCGCGCTTCGTCGTCGGTCGTGGAAAACGGACGGGGCGTCGAGATCCACTGAGCTCTCTGACTTGAGGTGACGGTGACTCCATGTGACTCCTGCGAGTCGTAGAGTCGTACGGAGAACGTTCATCGGCCACACTTCGTACTCCTGTCCACGGCCCTCCTAATAAGGACACCTCGGGAGGTTCGTTGTTTTTGAAGAGGGAGTCCGTTTTGGAATAGGTACTCGGGATGGTCCGTTACATTGGTTGTCAACTGTTTCTATTCTGAAAGGAGGGGTGACACCACAAACCTCTCTATCGAGGTGGAAGCTCGAGGCAGGTGTACACATATTACAAGTAAGTTCTGAGCAGATAGTGGCAATTACGGTTGAAGCCATGAGCTGCTGCAGCTATTTGATCACTCGAGGCAACAGAACCTGGTCATTCCAGCATCAGAAGTGTGAGCCATGAACAGCATCGCGACCGTGGTTTTTGCCGCAGTGCTTGGTGCAGCAACTTGGGCGTCAAGTCTTCAATATCCTTGGCTGAGAAGTCGCTGTAACAGAATTCCTCGGAAAGGACCATCACAACCAGGTAAGCCAGACACAGGAAACTCCAGTGGGGCCTACATTCTTCATGGCCTTTAATTGTTGGTTGCAGTCAGACATGGCCATAGAACAAAGGGGAGGTCGATGTTGCAGCGACCACCAGACGGTTGCGTCAGTGTCCTCCTTATTGCTGGACTCCTAGGCAGTGGCACACCCATCAAGCTGGCCCTGCAACTTTGCTTGCATGGCCGCGAAGCAGCCTGGTGGAGTCTTCGGTGGGATGGGCGTTGCCAACTTCAGTCGCCGCCTCAGCCGTTCGGTGGGACAGCCGCGTCGCGTTCTCCGCGCTCTTCGTCACGTGATGCGAAAGATGGGGCATCAACAAGTTCAGTTGTTTCCTCACATCTATCGCAATGAGTCCCTGTTGTTTTTTTTAATGAAGGATGCAGGTGGTTTGTGTGTGGTCCTGTATTTGTGACTTGCTTGACTTGCTTGACTTGCTGGTTCGATCTCCTTTGCACTCAATGATGGTTCTCATGAGAGATATGGCGCCTTTTCAAGTGGTCCAAACCAGTTTCAGCTTGATGTACCAGCAGGATCTTGAGACGTTTCACTTTGATGTGCGATTCATTGTCATTTGTCAGGGTCACGACCGACCACCTTCAAACTATGTGTTTTCTATGTTTGCCGAGAGGGTCAGTCAAACAGTTTTGCGAATCAGGTTCCTTTTCTAGTATCATCATCCACTGAGTCCCACAGTACTGACAGTATATCAGATCTACCCAAAGCATATGCACAAACTCATCATGTCCGCCTGACACCTGCAGATAATGGCACTGACGCCTGCGTGATTACCACGGACATCCCAGCCGCCACTTGGCTCGTCCGACTCTTCTTCCGAGTCCATTTCACCGTTCTTCGCGGGGCTGAAATCCGATAGATAGACACAATTGAAGGCGATAGATAGACACAATTGTAGCAGTGTAGATGACAATATATTATCGGGCTACTGCTATTATCAGTTTGGGCTCTAATCCGTAGCAGTAGCTTGTTTCGCAGCAACAACGTGTTCGCTTTCGTTCTTTTGATTTGGGCTCTCTCTCGAGGGGCTCGTTCGCGGATTTCTGCACGCAACCGCTCCTCTTTGATCCCAGGCTGGATACACTGGTGGACAAAACTATACGGCACCTGATCTGGATTCAGAGGTCGTTTTGGGGTCGCTTGGGGTCGCGCAAGCGACGGAAACGACAGTGAGGTGAGGGCAATTTTGTCAAACCTAAACGACCCCGCACAGATATGACAGTGACTTCTTTGGCTGCTAGCAATGTCTATTGTCTTGGTTGGGGGTTCCATGCTAAGACAGCAAGTATCTTAGGCATTGGAATTGTGTTTGGGAAATTGGAATGAGTTCCCAAATCCTGAAGTTCCTGGATGCTGAATGTGGCCCCCTTATCCAACATGCATTGAAGAGTTATTTATGTCAACATTCCAAGGCGAGCGCTCTGTGAATTCTTCTGTGGTTTGTCCAGCAAAGCAGAAACAAAGACATATTGTTATAACATATTATCACACTTGTGGAACACTGGGTCAATAGTTTTGCTGCATATTGTGTTTGTTAGTTTGGATATAGAGCCAACCTAGCGTGGGACTCAACATAATTGCATCATTTGATTGAACTTTAGTTGTCGATCTCAGCTTACACATTGAATGGGCAAAGCAGCTTCTGGAGATGATACAGTAACATTCTTTTGAAAAAGAATGTGACCTCAGAATCATGATGAACGATTCAAAAAGTGATGCTGACAGTTCTTTGCCTTTTTTGAGACGCAGTTTCTTCCTTTACGAGCAACCTCAACAACTTCGGCCGCCTCATCAATTGGCTTTCAACTGAGGTGACTGTGACATCTACTGGCACGTCCCTTGACAGGTCAAGGGAAGATCCAGTATAACCCATCCACTAAAGACACTTGATTTGCTGTGGCTTGAAGATAAGCTTGTCACAAACAGCACTGTCCTCACTAGCTTGAATACTTAGACCAACCCTTGAGGACATGAGTTTGCTATAGATGCACAAAACCGTCTTGGCAATTGGGTACATGGTTTAAAGCCGTCGTCCTTTTTGTGATACCATCGTTGAAGTCTCTATATATTGACTTTTAGATGTTAGGAAAGGCAGTTCAGATCTTTACGTTCATTACCACAATAGCCCCAAGCTTTTTTCGACAAGACCGGCCTTTCTGAGCCAGGTCCAGCTCCTGCTCCCGCTCAGGTTTGCGCAGAAAGTGACCTGCAGCTCTGGGATGTTTGGCGATGACGACACGTCGAACCAGCCAACAAAGGCGCGGTCGGAGTAGGTCGTAGCCAGGACTTGGGTGTGAAAAAGGCGGGGTCGTACCTGAAGAGGCCACAGAAACATACAGGAGTTGAATTCGCCCAGATACATACTGCAAAGATACGATACCTGCAACAATTCGCCTTGCTTTCTCGGATGCCTTGTCAGCATGTCAGGCGATGAGCCAGAGTACTGGCCCCAGAAAGTGTGAAACGTCTGATGATTTGCAATTTGTTGGAGAGAGCTGCTTCACCCTGTACAGAGAGATTTGTGCGGATTTGCGACATTTCATCAGAACTGCCGTAGTTTCAGCGGGGGCCTTGCTGCTGACCATCATTATGTGGGACCGGATACAACTTCTTTTTACTAGTGTTCAGGTTTAAATCCTGCAGCACCTAGTCTTGTGAATGACTGTGACTACTCCATGGTTTAGCCGATCCATACCCCGCCATGCTTCTCGCCATGCCTCACCCCCTGCCGACTCAGCTCATACCTGGACTGCTCCAACAAGTGGTGCTCCTGCCTCTTTCGGTGCCATGGACAGAATCCATCCAGTTGGGAAGAGGTCGACTGGTGGGAGCCATTGGGGTTTAGTGAAGAAAGAGATCTCAAGGCATGGGTCAAGGGGGTTCATGTTCATCTTCCACAAGCACAAAGCTGGCTTCGTATCAAACCTCGGTGCCCCGTTTTGGGTATGGGGTTTATCAAGTGATTTGTACTCTCCAAGATACTTTAATACAATGTGTCCAAGACATGTTCTAGCTGCAAATCTCATTGTCACTAGAATCTGACACCTAGAAGATAAACACACCTTCAAGGTACCTCCTCAAGTTCATTAACAGTGTTTCGGGAGAAGGACACGCATTTGTTGGTATCATTTTGAGAAAAGTTCCTCTCAGTGAACCATCCCGTTCCGACTCAATGCTTTGGCATTCAGCTTGCGCAAAACACAAACATCAATATATGATCTATATGCTTGGGTGTCCTTTGTCAGACCTTGACCACTTGCAGGATCTTGCAGGTCAATGAACAGAGAAAGGCGATAATTGATCACCTGGACGAAGAAAGTTTAATAAGTACAGTAGGTTGCAATTATTAATTCACTTGATATCTAGGTGTACAATTTACAATCTGTCAAATATGTTCCTTTTGGATTGGTTGATTTGTAAGGCCAGATTCTCAAAGATATTGGGCACTATATAAACCAAATAAAGTGACTTGAACACTTCCAGTGACTAACTAGACGGTGCTTGTGTTCTAGACATTCCTAGACCATGTACATCAAAGGATCTTAATATGTGACTCTTCTACCTACCAAAATATTTTCTTTGAAATCACTGTAAAGACATGACTGCTGTGATTCCCTACAAAGACCCATCCAAAAGGTCAGTGAAGGGGGTTGGGGCTCAACATGGCTGCCCTTGCCAGCTGCCGCCTGTGGCGACTCCACGGAGATGAATCTTGCAGCCCATGTGCAGCTTGGATGCAATATCTACGGAGCGCTGAGTTCGTCAAATGTCAGACTTGATGACGGTTTCTTCGTTGCCCTTGGTATGTGTGTAGTTGGAGAGAGGTGGCACAACTCCCAGATTTGGGAAGTAGTCTGTAATCGACAGGGTCTTTGTACCCTAGAGGTGATTTGGTGGAACAACAACCCTTTTATTGTATATATTAAATTGTTATTGATCAACCAACTATGCTCATATATCATATGTATATATATATTCTTATACATTATATATGTATACCTAATGCAAGCGGATGAACTGCTGCAACTGTGCCTGAGTACCAATGAGGGGACAGGAAAAGGAAACGTCAGATGCAACGGCAGCAAGGTGTCGAATTGACTCCTGTCTTCACTCTTGCACCTCAAATTACTCGACAGGTCCGAGTTCGGAGCTGCGAGTCCACATGTCAACGTGCATGTAGTAAAATAATATATATATATATACAGTATAGATATACACCTACAAACAACACGTACC